TGTGTTGTAATAATATCTTAATTCCACCCACATAATAGGAGAGAACTAACGAATTACTGTACCTATAGCACTCAGGTCGCTGGATGAAAGGAATTCAAATAACCCAGAGAGATCTTTTTGTTAAGTGTTGTTTCAATAGGCAGCAGAGGAAACATTAGCTAATGCCAGGGAGGGACATAGGAAATGAAGAGAATGAAATTACTGTGCATCATTACTAATTATTTTCTTTGAAGTCCTCAATAATTGTTTTCTAACAATATGATCCATGTAGAAAAATTTGCTATCTGTATTTTATGGACAAAACAGAAATTTATCAAAGTCTTCCATTTGTTTTATCAAAATTACAGGATTTGGGGAAATGGAAGGAATCTCATTTGCCTTCCTTCCTTAAATCAGATAGAAGGAAAGTCTGGGCTCATCTGGGATGTTCTTCATAGTAATTCAGCTTTCACTGGCTCATGCACCTCAGCGCTGCCGGGTGTCAGGGTTTGTGAGATCAGTTCAGCCTTCCACACCAAACTGTGCCCCAGGTGGTTCCCCAGTGGGGCCCGACTCCTCAGCCAGCCCTGGGCAGGGCAGGGCCAGGCGGGCAGCTCCTGGCCCACAGGCTGGTAGGGACCGCATGAGTCTTGTAGCTGTGGAACTGGTGCAGCTCTGTCCATCTCAGCTCCCTAACTGCTGCCCACGTCCTGCCTGCTGGGCTGGCACGGTCTTTTGAATTCACTCACTCATTCATCAAGTATTTACTGAACTCCAACTATATGCCATGGACTGTTCCGTTAAACAAAACAGGTAAAGCCCTGCTTTTGGGATGTAGACATTCCAATAAAGGGAGAGACGTTAAACAAAGAAGAAAAACATACAGTATGTCAACTGACGGTAAATACCAGGAAGACGTGAAACAGGCACAAGAGGACGGAGAGTGATGGGGATGGTGGGAATGGATGCTGGTTTACAGGAGTGGTCCAGGAAGGCCTCTCTGAGGAGCTGACATCTCAGCAGAGATCTGAGGAAAGCGAGGGAGCAAGCAAAACAAATATTAGAAAGAACAATGCCCCAGGCAGAGGAAATAGCATGGGCAAAGGCCTTGAGTTCAGAGTTTGCTCAATGTTCCAGGAACAGCAAGGAAGCCAGCGAGTGAGGGGAAGGGAAAGCAGTAGGAGATGGATCAGAGGGGTCCGGGAGCCACAACTTATGAGCAACTCTCTGCATATAGCTCGGGCAGAGTTCTCAACCAGCAGGCCAACTCACTCAGTCAGCAACTGTGTCTTGAGCATCCTGTGCCCCTGGCTGGCCCTCCAGGTCCCTCATGGGCTGAAGGGAAGAGCACAAAGAGGTAATGGTTGCAAAAGGCGGTGGGACTTTAATTTCATTCTCTCTCTCTCTTTTTTTTTTTTCCTGAAGTAATAGTTGTTTATTATAGAGGATATGAAAAATGCAGAAAAGAATAATGATGCAGATGCAGAAAAGTAAATGTATCAGGTAGCCGGGATTATCATTGTTTCCTCCAGTTTTCCAACCTTTGTATAATGCTGTTATAATGTATTTATAATACATGTATCTTTAAAAAGAAACTCAACTGCAAGTTTTTCTCAAAGTAATATAGAACTGCACCATATACTCTTTCAACATATGCATAGACTTTGGAACCAAACCTCCATGAGATGAGATGCCACTAGTTCTTTAAAAAGCACAAACTTTTGAGTCACTGGAGACTGGACTGACGTTCTGGCTTTGCCGCTAGCTGCTGTGGGACCTGAGAGTCTCTGAGCCTCAGGTTTCTCATCATAAAATGGGTATCACATCCATGGGATCGTTGTGAAGAGCAGAGATGATGTGTGGAATGTGGAATGTGGATGTCCCTAAAACATCCACAGTGGTCAGGAAGTACTAAACAAACTTCATGAAAGTACTGTGGCATGTGGAAAGTACTAAACAAATGGTGGCAAGTCAGAGCTATCAGCAAATAGGCAAATTTGTTCAGTCAGAAATACTGAGCCTCTCTCTTGTGCTAGGGACTGTTCCCGTTGCAGTAAACAAGCCAGAAAATAACTTACTTAATTCTTATCTTCCTTTCCCAAATTCCAATTGTCCAAAAAGACAGCAAATCAGTCTAGAAAACACAGGAGCTATGTATTATCCCTCTGAGTGAGAGCAAGGTGCCGGAGTCCATGGCATGTACTGGCAAAGTGGACAGGAAGCAGGTTGCCAGGACACAGGGCTACAGTGGCACAACTTTGCCACAAACTGCTTGGCTCCTCAAATAGACTTGTGTTTTCTCGCTTTGCTGCTGCCTTCCCTGCTGCACAGACAAAGCCAGGAAGCCCCGCTCTGGCTGAAACCTTAGAGAGTGTCACCCAGGTCGTAGACAGCAGCCTGGCTCAAAACGCCTTCCTTGGAGACTGGGTGTCTCGCAGCCCTCGGGATGACCTGATGTTATTGGGCTGTTCACCAGCCACACAGCTCAGACCAAAACAGTCCCACACAGTGGACAGCAGATTCTGTTCCTGACATGCAAGGCTTAAAGGAAAAGTCATTTTTAATAAAAGCATGAAAATTCACATTGTCCTCCCTGGTAGTACTTCTTCCCAGCAGAAAAATGATGAAGGTTTAAACAAAAAGGGAGTCCTATCCCCTCGCCGAAATTAACTATTTCTATAGAAACCAAGGACCATTCCAGACAGCCAGCTCGGGCTGGACTGATAGTAACCACATCGTGGCAGCCACCACCTGAGCATCGCTGCGGACAGATGGACAGACATGGGGTTGAGGGCATTTATCACAGCATTCCTGGAAGGCAGGTATCAATGACCCCACTGTTCAGATGGGGAAACCAAGATCAAGTCAGAATAATGACATGTCCAGCTGGAAAGGGGCCAGGTAGTTTGGAACCTGTATTTTTAGACTGTTTTTACATCTTCCTCAGCCTGGTTTTACTCATTGTTAGAAACAATGGACAAAAGCTTCCAGACATGTAATTGACCACTATGCCTAGCAAAGCAGTTCTGCTCAGGAAATGTAGCTGGTTTAGAGGGAGGGCCATTTTGTTGATGGCCAGTTTCTGCTCCCTCCACCCCTTCCCTCCCAGACTCGGGAATAGCTGGTGCTCATGGAGGACAACAGCTTCAAACCACCGGGTCATTCCCTTAGGGTGGGATCACTGAAATTTTTTCCAAGTGTAAGAGGCCAAATTACTAGGAAAGTGTTTTTTAAATATAAATCTGATTGTGGTACATTATTCTTGGCAGGTCTCTCCTCCCACTTACTATCCTAACGTGGATGAATCGTCCCTTGACACGGATTCTACAGACAAATCTTTCATAAACACGTGCTCACTCGAGCTGCCAGGCAGGGGTCCTGCACAGGAGGGGCGGTTTCTTGGGAGCAAAACTTCCCATCGGGTCCCCCAGAGCCGCAAGGCAACGGGGCTCACATTCCCACCAACCCCTCTCCACCTGAAACTCTGTCGAGTTCTTGGAATTTTCCTCAGGGTTTGCTTGCTGTGAGGAGACTACCAACTGGGTCTATCGTGTTGAAGGCGCATTTAAAACCAGTCAAACTCTCCACATTTGAGATTTTAAGAGACATCGTAGAAAGGCAGAAAGCTAGGGGTTCGGAGTTCGGGTTCTGGCTCATCGGGTGGTCTGAGGAAGTCTTTCCTCTCTCTTGGCCTTAGTTTCCCCTTCTGTAAAATGAGCAGGGTCCAGGTGAGCGCTAAGGCGAGACATCGCAGGTTCTCTCAGGCGTGACAAAAGGACGGTCTCCGGGCCCTCCGGCCTCCCTCCGAGGACGCAATTCTCTCAGAGCGCCTTCTCCGCTTGGAGTCGGACTCCCGGAGTGTAGCTGGGCCGCCAGGGCGCGTCCGCAGGCTTCCCCGGTCCGGCCCACACCGCGAGCCGAGGATCCGACGACGCCTCTGCGCCCGGGCCCGGCCCCTGCGCCGGCCTCCAAGTCCCACCCCCGTACCCTGTCCCGCATCCCTCCGGCCGCCGCGCGGCGATTCCCCCTCTCCCCGCCCCGGCGCGTGGAACCCCGCCCTCCGCGGAGTCTCGGAGCCGGGCGGGCGG